AAAATGTGCATATAACTGAAATATAACATAACAGGAAATCATCATTTTTTAAAATTAAATTAATAGTTCTGGAAACCCTACAATTTCATAGAACGTTCAAACAGCGATCGGCGGCCAACTGGTATATTGCTAGGTTTTATTATAAGGAAATATTGAGTAAATATATCTTAATATTCGAACCGACCCAACTGTGAATGTCACCAATATAGGATTTACCCACATTGCCAATTCTACAAGTTTATAGCTGACTTGATTACTAATCGAAAGGTTGTAGCACATTGTACGTTCAATCAGCAGCGATAAAATTTTGTCTAATCCTCAAATATACGTTTATACCAAGGGTTATACAACAATTTAACTGAGCGATTCTGGTATACCTGCCATTTTGATGAACCTCAAGTTCCTCTAATATCTACCTTAGTCATAATATGGCACGGTCTACTTTATAAGAAAGAAAGAATCAGTTAGTTTTAAACCGTCTTCTTTGTTGATATCAGTTAAATGGGTTTGTTTGCAAGAACTGTCAGATGACCGACCCAGGAAGTGAAACACTGAAACACAACCTCACTGTTCTTATTTGTTTACAAAGGATTGAAATAGTTTTTCACAATTATTTTGGCATAGGAATCGTGTTTTTCTGCTAGGAATCCGGTTTTTACATTTCGATTCAAAAGTAAGTACCTACTATAGTCACTCACATATAGTTTTCATTTTGAAATTTGGTATTTCTCTGATTCCTCATCTGAGTTACTTCTGCAATAGGAGCTAATAGAAATACTCCTGGAATTTCTAAAAGAATGCAAGAAGATTGAATTCATGCAATCAAACGAGAGGACTGGTCTGACATGCTGGCGAAATATGATCGTGTGTGTTGTAGACATTTTCAATCTATTAGCAGTATTAGCTTTTATTGCAGAAGTGGCAGAAGGAATTTTAATAATAAATGACAAAATTTCATAATGAAAACTGTGTGAGATTACTATTTACCTGAAGAATCATATTCCTTCGTCTCTCGCTGCATTTTTTGTGTATTGTACAACAGCACAATGAGATGACATGCTTGAATTAATGAATAGCGCAAAAAACACGATTGGTACAAAATATTTTGAAAAACTAGTTCAATCCTTTAATTCCTTTGTAAACAAATTAAAAAAAGTGAGGGTGTGTTTCAATGTGAATTATCGATTTTTCAAGATTACCAATAGAGGGTCGGCGCGTTATGGTACTTGTGACGTCAGTACAGCTGACGTTTCTTCGTCGAATTCTAACGGGAACATTTCTTTCGCAATTTGTTTTGGGGAATCTGAAGGAATAAAAAAATCGAAAACGTTTTCTGCTCCTTCTCTCATCGTGATGCACGTCACAGTATTTTTTCTAGAAATTAGTGTTCTTGACTGATCCGTTGATCAGGTTGCAGGCAGGCCAAGGAGTTCGTGGCCGGTCCGAGCAAATCAAGAAAGGACTGGCTGCTTGGCAGAGACCGCGAAGTACTCCGCCTCCTCCTAGGAGTACTCACAGGTCACAACAGGTTGGGCAGACACCTATCACTTATATGAATAAAGGACAACCCCACTTGCCGCAGATGTGGGGAAGACGAAGAAACGTCACTTCATTTTCTCGGCGAGTGCGAGGGGGCTGAGATTTGAAATCTTTGGAGTCGACAAACTCGAACAGGAAGAGTTGATCATATTAGAATGGACGGACATACTGGCCTTCATCAGAAGGGCAGGGAGATTGGTAAAGGAAATCTAGGTGAAGTAAGCGTAGATATGTGGAGAACAGGGGTTAGCAAAAAGGACCTATCGGGGCCTACTTGCTTGGCTACAGCCTCCCCACCTCCTACTACTACTACTACTACTGACTATTACACGACAAGTTTAGAGCTTATGACTTACGATTTCACCTGAATAACAGCGTAGTATTAAAGGAAAAGAAGTAGAAGAAATTTAAATCGAAAGACTTGCCTTGTACTCTGGCTCGTGAACAATCATTCGCACGTCCTCTGCTCTCGCTAAGATCGCGAATGAGGCTCAACTGGTAAGAGGTACGAAGATTGGGCCACCACACTGTCCCCGCATGCCGTCGTATACCCGTTGTGGAACATCTCAGGGATCTAGAAGAATAGGAAGGAAAAACAAGCTTTATAAAAATAGTTATTTATTATACAAGGGAAAAAAGTAGTAGATTTTAGCTTCAGGCTGTGTTGTCTCCCGACGCGTAGCGGACGGAGACAAAAAACCGTGAGCTAAAATCTAATATTTTTCCCGTATATAATACACTATTTTTTTCTGTAACAGAAGAAAGGACGAATCAATATTGAGACGATATTACATTATTTTGAAATCTGAAAATTATCGACGTGAAATTTTAGGTTTTTAACAGTAGGGACACCTGCGTTATAGGCATCTTTATCATTCTTTTGAAGTAATCAAATATCTGATGTCACGTCTGTCAGCCTAATTCTGTGATTTGATTTTAAAAAATTGCGAATTTAGTGGTTGTTTAGTAATATACGTAACCGCGAAGTCGAATGGGAGAAAAAAGGACTTGCAGTTCTTTCTCGGAGACGGTATTATTGACTCATTTTTCGGAACTATAGCACAACAAAAGCCATCAATAGTGTATATATATATATGTGATATAAACTACTCAACACTAATTTCGTCGCACACCAAAATGTCGCCCCTGTTATAATGTGAATAACTTCTTTCAGTTTAGAACAATTTGAATTTGGTTCACACTTTTCGATAGCCCAGTTCTTCAGCTATAATCTCGTACTTCATTGAAACATAAGGGTAACCACATAAAATCTCTACATGGTGTTTTCCGACACTTTGCGAAATTTCGGAATATTCAAAAGGCTCTCAAATGGTGGAAAAAATTGTTTTCTCAACTTCGACAACAGAGGCATGAAGATGATCTCATTACCTTGAGATATTTCGCGAATCAACTTCCTATCTCTCTTATTTACAGAGTGATCTCAAAAAATCAACTTTTTGGATTTGCAGTCATAACTTTTTTCCACGTCAACCGATTTTGGAAATCTTAGGCTCATTTTGAAGATAAAATTTCAGATGAAGAGATCTGAATATCAGAATTCACTCAAGATGGCTATCAAAGATCTAGAGTTTTCTTGAAAGTGACCCAAATCTCGAACGCCCTTCGAATCTCGGTTGGGAGGAGAATTGAATGAAAATCAACTTGTTCTCGGAAAAACAATTCATTCTGAATGCGTCCATATTTTCCTCGCTCTCAGTAGTCAAGAATTGTTCGTGAGAAAACACAATTGAAACATGTACTTGCAGAAACATTAGATCATTTCTCCTCTGTAATACATATGGCCCGCCGTAACCAACGTTACAAGAATCACAATGAGTGACTGACATACCCGACCAGCTGAGGCTCATCATAAATGGTGTACCAACAAGAGCAACGGATTTTGATTTTTCTAATAAAGCGATTTTTTTAACAGTTGTCACGTACATAACATGCGATTTAAGAATATGGAAAACTATTCAAGCTAACAACGTTTATTTATTGTAAAAACGCATTTCGAAAATGGTGAAAGTTTCACGAAAACAGTTTGCCAATACGTAAATTTTTCAGTCGCAATAATGCGCCGAACGAATCGACAGTGATAACCAAACAATTCGTGTCCCTTTGAAGTTTGAATGGATCGGACTGTCGTGTTAAGCAGATCCGCGATTTGGAGGGAAGATAACCCTTGTTCCCTCATTTGTGGAATCAGTCCCAACTGGTCGGGCGTTAGATGCTGCATCTAAACTATCAAAATCTGTTTATGATTCGAAAACGACGTCTAACCTGACTTGTCAGTCACTAACTGTGATTCTTGTAACGTTGGTTACGGGCCATGCATTACAGAGGAGAAATGGTCTGATGTTTTTGCAAGAACATGTTTCAATTGTGTTTTCTCACGCACATTCTTGACTACTGAGAGCGAGGAAAATATGGACGCATCCAGAATGAATTATTTTTCCGAGAACAAGTTGATTTTCATTCAATTCTCCTCCCAACCGAGATTCGGAGGGCGTTCCAGATTTGGGTCACTTTCAAGAGAACTCTAGATCTTTGATAGCCATCTTGAGTCAATTCTGATATTCAGATCTCTTCATCTGAAGTTTTATCTTCAAAATGAGTATAAGATTTTCAAAATCGGTTGACGTGGAAAAAAGTTATGGCTGCAAAACCAAAAAGTTGATTTTTTGAGATCACTCTGTAAATAAGAGAGATAGGAAGTTGATTCGCGAAATATCTCGAGGTAATGAGATAATCTTCATGCCTCTGTTGTCGAAGTTGAGAAAAAAAATGTTCTCACCATTTGAGAGCCTTTTGAATATTCCGAAATTTTGCACATTGTGGGAAAACACCATGTAGAGATTTTATGTGAATACCCTTATGTTTCAATGAAGAACCAGATTATAGCTGAAGGACTGGGCTATCGAACAGTATGAACAAAATTCAAATTGTTCTAAACTGAAAAAAGTTATCCACATTATAACAGACACGACATTTTGGTGTGCGACGAAATTAGTGTTGAGTAGTTTATATCACACGGGAAAAAAGTCATTTATGAAAAGTGACATTTTATAACCTATTGTTGCCAGCAAGCACTGAAAGTATTGTATCGCCTCTCATTTGATATCCCAACAAATGATCTGTATGCGATAACAGAAAAATTTCCATTGGATGAATTATATAAAATAGATTCTCTTAAAGTTTCATATAATATAATAAACAATAATCTGAAATCTGATTTTATTTTGATAAGAAACTCAGAAATGCATGGTCATCACATGAGACAATTAAACTTATTTCATCTTGATTCTGCTACTTCTATAATTGGCCAAAAAAAATCTACTCACGCTGCTTTAGCTGAATTTAATAAATTACCACATAATATAAAAAATTGCAGACATATTCTCCTCATACTTCCTCATACCAGAATTGTATTTCAATAAACAATAAACTATTATGAATACCTGCACGAGAGTTTCAGCCAAGTTAGTCTCGTCCAACAGCGAGTCGAGCAGCCCCTGAGTCTGGCTCAGCTTTTCCAACGATTTCACGTCGTTGTCGACCTCAGCCAAGGCTTTCTCCAGTTCTTCGGCTTCTTCTCGGGACGGCTCGTACTCTCCATTCCGATTCACTAACAAACGACATCGATCAGATCATCAGATGATTACTATAGAGGTGTGAAGAAGTCCATACTGCATGTTACAATATGGGGGGACATATTTATGGCTTATAATAAACCCATCATCAGCCAAAGAGAACTATAATATCCTACAATGGGTATAAACTAGTAACAGGAATAATCGCCCAGGTAGAGCAAAAAGGAGCCAAGCGCCATGATTCGAAATTTTGAGATCTTCCGCCAAACACTATTTCAAAAGCTCCTCTATAAATGGGCATTAACGTGCCAAGCGCCAGACAAGCCACTGCAATAATTATACCCGTGGGTACAAGCGCCAACAATTTAACAAAAATGAGAGCCAAAAGTTGCCTGCCGACGGTAGTTGGCCCCTAAAAATTTGTGTACTGTGGTGCTAACCGCCACACTGAGTGCACTTGGAATCTGTTTGCTTTGTTTTTTTTTTACATCAAAATGTGGCTTGGATATGTAAGTATATCTCGTTATTCCAAAGGCCTACACACAAAAGATTTCAATTAGTTTGAAAAAGTGTAAGAACCTGGAAAAACTTTGCCGATATGGCAATATACCAGAAGATCTTCAACAGGAATATTTAAGATTACCATATTCCAATGAGACAAAGGACGATATAAGTGGTACTGCGGAGTCGGATGTTGATGTTAAAATCTGCTTTACTGTTTTCAAGAAATTCCAAAAAGAATGTTTATGTTATGTGTTGAGCTTTAATTTATCATTTTCAAAGAAATTATTTTTATATACATAAATTTAATTTAACCCAACAAATTCAGCAATTTTGAGCTAAAAAATTAAAGAGTCAAGCTTTCAGAATATATGAATTTCAAAATTAACCGAAGAGCAACAAGGGGTCAACAGGTTTTTTTAAACCGAAAATGGCCAAATTTTGTCATGATAGCAATATTTATTCAAACGAGAACTCCTTAAAAAATAATATACAAAAAAGTGAACACTCAATTTTGAAATAAAAAATTCAGTTTTTCTGAACACTTGTATAATTTTTAATTTGGCGGTTGGCCCCTTTTGCTCTACAGGGGCGTATGTTGAATTCACCTACATGAGAATAAAAAACTGTAGTAGAAAGTTGTAGGTAAATAGGTAAATTGAACATATTATAACATTTTCAGTACATCAACAATTGAAATTTTTTGAAATTTTGAACAGGTGTATTATTTCAAGGGGGGCTGTATCCTATGAGATAACATCAAAAGGTTTTCAGCTACACTAATATTATGTAGAGATAAGATTCGATTGTTTGTTTCTATTGAATAGGCTCCGAAACTACTGGACCGATTTGGAAAACTCTTTCACCATTAGAAGCCGACATCATCCCTGATTAAGATAGGCTACGTTTTACCGCGAGTTACGTTTCCATATTCACCTCAAGAACACACGAGCTTGACGCTCATCCGCGGATTCCGCAGTTTCATATTTCATTTCTATGAATTGTATCACACCACGAATTATTTGTAAATTCAATTTAATTTAGTTCTCTTTTGTACCTTGAAGTAAAAACGTTGCTTTTTAAAACGTTCCTCGATTTTCCAACTTCCTAATTGGCGCAGTCGGTAGGATGTGGTAAAAAGGAAACTATCGTAGAATCCTTATAAGTCTCAACTTTTAATTACCACATTCGAAAATTCTGACAGTTGTACGGAATTCGGGTCAGTCAAATTTTGGGCGAACTGAGTAACTCAAAACTTTGACAAAAAACGTATAAAAGCGAATCGAAAACCGGGTACCATATTTTGAAGGTACAAAGAAACTCAACCCCTGGTGAGGACAAACATCGCCCAAACCAGAACCCATAGCCTAAGGACCATAGAATAGGAAGACTATAGCTTAAGACCATGAAAATAGGAATACTGATCATAACATTAGTGTGCATTTTCCCATTTTTCTACGTAACCATATACCATATTTTCCGATATTTTTCTCGCTTATTTTATTTTTCTTCACTTATATTACATATTCGTTCGTGAAACCTAATAAACACTGGACGAATTAATAAGCCAGATTTCTATTTTGAATTAGAACGAAGAAAGTAATTTGAATCAAAATATGCCTGGAATGAATTATGCTTTGTAACGGTACCAAGCCGATAACATATCTACCCTTGTTTGATGGTAATACGAAACAATTGCAAAGATTCATCAGAGCATGCGAACATTTCTTGTTGGCTTTTCAAAATCCGAATGAATCAAATGCACCTATAAATGTTTGTTTGATTGATACAATATTCAGCAAATTGACAGGCAGAGCTCCGCAGATGTGATTTTTTCACGTTTAGAATTGAAAACATGAATATCAATTAAAGAAACACTTGTAAGAATTTTTTCAGACCTATGGTGTGCTACAAAAATTATTCCTCAGGAAGTGGAGAGGGCATATCTTTTATTTACAACCATATAAGTAATGTTGTCAATTCTTATGTCATTAAAGGTCGGGAAGTATCACATTACATACCTTTACTTCCCGCCCTGACTTCCCGCCCTCACTCATGTAATATTTTAGGTATGTTCAGAACGAAACAGAGATTTATTAATTTTTATCAAAATATGATGGTTGTAAATAAAATAGTATAGAAAACCTCGGTAGGAAGTTGCATTTCTGTCTCGAGATCAAAGCTAACCTCGACGTTTTGCGTTTCGGTAACTGAATAAATTCTTTCCATATGAGATTCAAATTCACCAGCAATTTACAGAAGACGATCATGACCGCAGAATCGAATTTTGTGAGATAATGTCTGGGAAGATTCAACAAGTTGCCAGTTTTCCTGAGCACATCTGTTTCAGTGATGAACTTTTTATTTGAACGACTTTGTTAATGAACATGATTGTAGATTCTGGGACAATGAAAATCCACACATATTTCGGCAGGACCATACTCAGTTTCCTGAGAAAATCAATGTGTGCTGGTATTCTCCATTGAAGACAATTTATATGGGGTTTGGAAGAAGAGGTGCCATAGAATGGCCAGCAAGATCTCCAGATTTGACACCTCTCGACTATTTTCTGTGGGGTCCCTTGAAAACCATGGTTTATAAGACTCCACCAGAAGATATTGATTGACTCAAAGAAGACTCATTTCAGAATGCAGACAAATCAATCGGGAAACGGTTCAAAAAGTTCGAAAATAGACTGTACTATTGTCTAGAATATAATGGACCACATTTTGGGCAATTGCTGTGAATACCACTCTGAAAAATTGAATTTCTCTTTAGACAGATTCGTCAAAAAAAAACATTCTAGTTAGTTCTGAAAGGAACTAGTAGGGTATACCATTCTCAGCTGGATGAAGCACCAACATATTTGGTTCTGATTGTCAGAAAATATGTCATTGTTCACTGAAACCATATACAGAGTGAACTCTTTGATAGCTGGCAACATTTCACAAGTACGGTCCTGGTTTTTTTTTCAATTCTGTAAACGTTAGTCTATTGGTGTTGGAGTGAATAATGTTCCATGAAAAAATGAAATGAATCAAAGGAGCTGCTGGTAAGTTGTGACAAAAAGATTTTTTTGCTCAATCCTATAAATCACTCTGTTTATTATTGTAGAAGAGGAGGAAAAACTCCAGATGGCAATTCAATATTCCCCTCAGGGACCTCTGTTCGTGGTGGGAGTATGTACAGTACCTCATGACTCACACTGTATACGAGATAAATATTTTTTCGCCTGGTTGATTTCATCATTGATAGACCTTCATTTTTTTGTATCTCAAAGTAGGGGGTGCCATCTGAGATTTCAAAGTAGGGGTGTCTGGGGGGTGAAGGGGATGAACATAGAATTCAATTGATATTGGCATTTTACTTCTCCCTCGATATCTAAATCGACCTGTTTTTTCCGAAAACTGTAATCTTCGCAGATCAAAAGATATGCAGGGTGGTAAGCTCTGAAATGAAAGCCCTGTATATCATATGTTAATGTATCCCTATTATAAACAAATATGTTCCTTGGGGTAATAAAGAAGAACAACAACAAATGGGCTTATATCACAAAAAAAATTGAATTCATAATTCGATAGAACTCGCCCAAACCAGCTCACCACCGCAAACCGTTATTTGCTGTGAGCTCCCTACGTTTTATAAAAAATTATTGAAATCCCCGATTTTTCGGACCTCTGAAAACGAGGCGATGATGTGACGTCAAAACCCTAATACTGAAACAAGACTATTCCAGGCAGAGATGAATGATACATGATTTCAGGCAGAGTGAATTAACGCGAGATCACAGTTGAAAGAATTAATATATCAGTTGCCTCAGTCTCCGTCTAGCGTTTGGTATTTTCTTTTAACTATGGCGAGATGAGGTTTCTACGTCATAAGACGGTCCGTTTTCAGAAGATACCATTATTTATGTCCAAATATAAAACATTCCAGTTGATTTTTCGATCGAATTATATCGTCAATCATTATTTATGTATAAAAGGATCATCATAAACATGGTTTGAGTTAAAAGTTCTACTAAGGTGTACACGCCCATTGAGAAACCAATAACATTCTTCAAAATTTCAACTATCTTCACATGAGAAAAAAATTGTTTCCACGTGAGAAATGAAAAGCTGCCATAAATAATTCACAATGATATGATATTCTCGGAAGAGGTGCACCTACCTGTGAAGAAATCGCTGAACTCGTCTACCTGTATGGTGCTGAGGACGGTATTGATGTCCGTTTCTTCCAGCAGGTGCGCTTGCGTGACCAGCGCCTGTTCCAATCCGTTCTCGTTCAAACTGAGCACCTGTTCGACCATTTGCATGTCTTCGACCTCCAGTTCGGGAGATTCTGCTTCGATCATTTCGCCGACATCTTAGACAAAATGGGGATTTTCCATGATAGGCTCAATAGGCGAGGGGACTAATTTGTTTTTTATTCCTCAAATAGAATCAACACTTAAATACCTTTCGATTTCATATTTTTTTTAGAATTTTTCTTTCGATTTTCACCGTGATTTTCAAACGAATAGAAATTTACCGCGAGTATAGGTCGCGTGCACGATGACCGACCCTGGAGGCAAAATATTGAAACACAACCTCATTCTTCTGTGAATTATTGAAACACAACCTCACTTTTTTACTTGGTTACAGAGGAATCAAAGGATTGAAATAGTTTTTCACAATATTTTGACATACGAATCGTGTTTTTTGCGCTATTCATTAATTCGAGCATGCCTTCGCATTGTGCTGTTGTACAATGCACAAAAAATGCAGCAAGAGACTAAAGAATATTATTTTTCAGGTAAATAGTAATCTCACATAGTTATCATTATGAAATGTTGTCATTCCTTATTAAAATTCCTTCTGCCTTCTGTCACTTCTGCAATACAAGCTAATACTGCTGATAGATTGAAAATGTCTACAACACACACGATCGTCAGCATGTCAGACCAGTCCTCCCGATTGATTGCATGAATCCAATTTACTGGCATTATTTTAGAAATTTCAGATGTATTTCTATTAGCTTCTATCGCAGAAAGAATTCCGATGAGAAATGAGAAATTACCAAATTTCAAAAATGAAAACTATATGTGAGTGACTATAGTAGGTACTTACTTTTGAATCATAATGTACCATCCTGATTTCTTCATCTTCCGCTGCAGTTTTTGTGCATTTTACAACAGCACAATGTGATGGCATTAGCGAATTGATGAATAGCGGAAAAATACGATTCATATGCCAAAATAATTGTGAAAAACTATTTCAATCATTTGTAAATAAATAAGTAAAGTGACGTTCATCTGACAGTTCTTGCACGCAACCCATTAACTAGGTTAGGTTAGGTTATATTTCGTAAGTAGGGGGCAGAAAATAGCACAGTTACAATGTGTTGAAATACGATTGGGAACTTCAGAAATATTAGTTATTCAAACATTAATAAATTCTCAATTATGTATTGGTAACATTCCTATTTAGCAATACATAATCAATTGTCTCAAAATGGTCCCTTATGATTTGTGGCTTATTGCTTATAATACATTATTTGTGTAAATAGTAATTATATTAATTCACACTACACCTTTTTCAATTGTAATTCAGGAAGTATAAGATGTAATTCAGAGAGTATAAGTTGTAATTCAGATTAGTTAATTGTAATTCAGAAAGCGTAATATGTAATTCAGATTTGTGAAATGTGATTCAGAAAGTGTAACTTGTAACTTGTAATTCAGAATAGTGAAATGTAATTCAGAAACCGTCAATTGTAATCAAGAGAGCATAACTTGTAATTCAGGAAATATCACTAATGACTAATGACTAATGAACCCGTATGCACCCATTCTCCATGAGAACAACGACTTGTTTATCTTGAACAGAATATTGACCAGGCCAAAGATAACATTGTTGGAGGTGATTGTGCTAGGGCTGCACAACACACCACCATTCACCATGCTGCAGTTCTGGCATTTCAAGATATGCCTGTTGTTCCATGAATATAAAATATTGATTTTCACCACACAATAAACCATTCTTTGATTTCTACTTCCTACCCTCATTTAGGTCCATAGAATTTATGAATCACAAGTGATGCTTTCTGAATTACAAATCACCCTTTATGAATTGCAATTGACCATTCTGAATTACAAGTTACACTTTCTGAATTACATTTCACTTATCTGAATTACATGTTATGCATTCTGAAAAACAATTGACTGATCTGAATTACAATGGGCTTATATCACAAAAAAAAATGTATTTCATAATTCAATAGAACTTCCCCAATTTATCTCATCACCGCAAACCGTTTCTTGCTGTGAGCTCCCTACGTTTTATGAAAAATTATTGAAATCCCCGATTTTTCGGACCTCTGAAAACGAGGCGATGATGTGACGTCAAAACCCTGATACTGAAACAAGACTATTCCAGACAGAGATGAATGATACATGATTTCTGACAGAGTGAATTAGCACAAGATCACAGTTGAAAGAATTAATATATCAGTTGCCACAGTCTCCGTCGGGCGTTTGGTATTTTCTTTTAACTATGGCGAGATGAGGTTTCTACGTCATAAGAGGGTCCGTTTTCAGAAGGTACTATTATTCATGCCCAAAAATAAAATATTCCCAGTTAATTTTTCGATCGAATTTTGTCGTCAATCATTATAAACATGTTTTCAGTTAAAAGTTCTACTAAGGTGTACACGCCCATTGACTGATCTGAATTACAATTGACACTTTCTGAATTACAATTAACTAATCTGAATTACAAGTTACACTTTCTGAATTACAATTGAAAAAGGTGTAGAGGACATTCTTATTCAGCATAATGTTGCCAAGTTTCCAACAGTCACATGAAATTTTGTTATGGAGTATAAGAAATATTTGGACATGCTGGTTGCCCGAAAGATTCAAGAATGAACTATAATATCATGAGTTCCTCCAATTATGTTTTATTCAACGACTTTTTGATAACTTGATTATAATTCGTGACTTGACAACCTTGCTCAATGAGTGGAAATGGAAGATTATCTGACCAAAAACGAAACAGCATAAAAGCTGACGTCACCATTTATTCGACGTATCGCCAAATGGCAGCAATGAAGGTTCGTTTGAAATGAGCTCTGAAATTCAACAATTTTGAACAACGCATGGACTCTTATTTACATAATGAAAGCGTGAAAAATTAATTTAGGTTCCTAATTTTTTTGTGAAAAATTTTTTTGTAAATTTTTAATATTGAAAAAAGGTAAAAATGAATTGGTGACTTGTTACTTGTTGAAATCGAAATTTGGAAATAGTTGAAAACGAATTTGGAAATTGATAAAAGTGAGGTTACTTACTCGTCAGGTTAACAAGGAAATTTGTCCATAAAAATATATCTGGTCTAGTTTAAAACTAACGACATTATGGTAAAATACGGTACAAACATTTACCCCCTTTTGGGAAACATATTTTAATATGTTTGTACCGTATTTTACCATAATGTCGTTAGTTTTAAACTGGACCAGAGATATTTTTATGGACAAATTTCCTTGTTAACCTGACGGGTCGAATTTCCAATTTCTTTTCAACAGTCGAAAGCGCTCTGCTATGAGTATAAATTTGAATAAATTATCTTGCACGAAATACAACACTTCCTTTCTTTGGAGTAATTTAATGCCAATAATTCATTATCAATCTACTTGCCCATTTGCAGAAAGATAGACTCGAGCAGATTCCGGAAGTAGAGACAAATCGGACATATTTTGCTAGCGCCGCCTACGAACCAGCCAAGACTAAGGCAGAATTTGTCTTCTTACATCTTGTTAGTGTAAATGTAAATAATCAAGGATAATATTAAGTGATTTTATTTTGCCAGAAATATTCGGCGATTGTTGCGGAAGCTTGTTGCCTTGTAATTTCACGAATTACATTGTTTATCAAAACTATGGAGTTATAGGCGACAACATTTTCATGTCATATTTGTGAAGAGAAAAAGAGGACTGACTCATTGGCCTACTCATGTCTACTTTTGGAAATAATTTCCACACAATATTTATGAGATTTACAATTATTTTTAATGAAATATTTTTTTCTTACCAGACCCAGAGGAAGTAGTAGCAGGTATATGTAATATTGCACTAGAGACGGGAGATTCGCTACTTTTGTTCGCTATCTTTTTCCTTTTCTTGTTTCTTTTTTGTGGCCTTATCATGGCAGAAGGTTTCACTTTTTTCCTCAATTTCTTTGGTTTAGCTTCTTGGTACAATTTGTAGTTATCCTAAAATGAATGGAAAACATCATATCTGGTACAGGGTAGCTGAAACTTCATTGGGATTTCGTGAACTGTAAGAGATACAGGGTCTTTCAAATTATATCGCTAATTTTTACCGGTAAAGATACTTTTGAAGATGTCTGAAAGAAACCAATATTTTGTCACACATTTTTATTTCATTTTTTATTTTACCGGAAGAATCATATTCAAAATTTTATTTTTGCATTTGATTACTCAACCACAGTCTCCAAAACTACACTTGATTATTTGAAGAAATTCATCGCATTGATGGACACACCTTATCATGACGTCATTTTTGCCTCCCTGCAAGATACCGTTTTGAAATTTGATATCCGTTGCTGTGTTAAAAGTCGGTACCAACTTTCTTATTTCAAATAGAAAACTTTTCCTTAGTTAGGATAACCTGCTTTATGTCAACCTATCACAGTTTTCGATTTTTCTGTAGATAATTACCACCGTAGTAGGTTACGGAAACAATTGTAAATCCCAAATTGTTCAGAATTAGAGCGTCAAATGTGTGGAACAGTTAGCTGATAATCTTAGGCTCGTGATGTCCATTCCATGATCCCATTTTGTACTATATGGTCGCGGCCAATTTTCATATGTCGCATCAAAAAATTGCCGAAACCTCAACTTTTTCGAATGGCACCTACTATTTAGTTGACACCATGTGGAAGAAACTAGAGTCACTGGATGGTATTACTTTGATAAGAGTTCGGACACAGCCGAACTTTTGTCCGTTTCTATTTTCTATAATACAATGGTTAAAGTGAATAAAAGAATAAGACATACATATATATTCTGCTCTTTGTCTTTTCAATTTCCCTAGTAGCGCCTGATTGTCAGAGACGATTTTTGAGGATATATTTTCTGTCAAATCAATCATAGTCGTAGATGGACGATGGAAATAGGGTACAAACACCCACTTCAATTTATAGTGATATACTTCTAGCAGAACAACTGTTATATAAATGAAAAGAATGCATGTACCAACGTTTTAATATTAGAAAATATACACATATGGATAAACTTATAGCTATAATTCCTTATTGTACGCCAAACTGTACTCCAGTGATAAGTATGAAACATGAAGTTATAAATATTAAATTAAAGGTAGGTATTCTCAATATACAGGAAGTAACATAAGTACGTTCAAGTGAAGTATTTCTGAGAAAATTTTAAGAAATAATGTCTATATAAGCTTGTGTCCGGAAATGCTTCATTCCGGAGATACAAGGTGTTGAAACACTGAGAACAAATCATTTTTAGATAAACATTTCATAGGAAAAAAGTAGTTTATTTTGACGAGATCTACCAAATACTTTTTTCTGTAAAGTTCTCAGCAACTTAGCGCTCGAGGATCGATATAGAAAATATCTCCAAAACGATAACATCCATCGTAATTAAGGCCCTTATAATAATTCCCTTGATACATAAATAACTATTCATTTCTCACTGTTGAATTTTGAATTTGATCGGCACCAAAAACGCTATTCAATAATATATCACGTTGTAGTTTCCTTGCTTTTCTTAGTTTTGTTTTCAAATTTCCAATTTCATTATGTAATTTTACGGTCATTTCCTCTTTCCATGATTATTTTGTTCTGTATTTTGTGGGATGATAATAATGGAATTTTGTTCATGAAATCGTCTACTTTGTAAATTAATGGAACCGCAGATTCTCTCAAACAGATTTTGAAATCGTCTGTTCGAAACTGGGCCTAAAATATTTCTTTCATTCTGATAAGAAGTGAATTTTAATGAGTACCTCACAAATTTCGCTCGTCTTGAAATTGATTTTCCACCCATATCTACCTTCCATAAGCGAATGGTTGATATTTGTTTTGGAAAATTGAATAAATGATATCCATTTTTATCAGATTTGGCACAATTTATTACACAGCAAGTGATTTCCATAGCTGCTTTTTTCTGGAAAGTATAATCATTAAATTTTATTTCAATTCTGACGTTTCTAAAATGTATTGTCAAATTCAAACAATTTTGAATAAAAAGCGCGGGACGACTATGGCGCTATTGTCACAATGCACGGTGTGTAACTTAATAAATCTAAACATTCAAAAACCCTAACAGTTGTCATTTCTGTGTCCGAACTCTTATCAAACTAATACCATCCAGTGACTCTAGAAGAAACCAAACCGTTGATTGATGATATATTACGCTTTCATACCAAATTTCTGAACAAAACACGGTCATTGAATGGGTCAAATTATACTAATCTCAGACTTACGTGGCTGTACGGTTATACAGGAGAGGAGAGAAACTACTGAGACGTAGGTCATGCATTTTCATCGGTTTGTTTATAAACAACGAAATGTTGCCAGTTCTTCTTCTTTTCTTTGGGTTTAATGGAGTTCTGTTTCCCTTTGGAAACAATTTCTTCAGAAAGTAATTATTTTTTTCAAGAATTATATAATGGTTATGTAATAATGTTGTCTCTCGACTCGAGCACTAAAGACACCGAAGTCCGTCACCGTGTCCGGAAGCCGAGTTCATCAATGTTCATAAGATTCTATCCTATGTACTCCTGGAGCACGTTTGACTTCAATTATGGCCCCTTTACCCGATGAATCCGTCATCATCCGGCCTCTATACGGATGTAGAGATAAAAGGGCCTGCTATTTTTCACACACACTTATTAAACTTCACATTGAATATTGAATTTTAATCCAGATCAGGTAATTAGAATAATGTTGAACTTTCACACACATTAACCTAATTTATGACCTGGAGACGCCATGTGTCTCTTTCCATGGTCCAGGGGCGATTCCCATGTTGCCAGTTTTATTAGCTGCCACTTGTGACTGCTCGTCATTGAATTTATTTCCGAAAAGTGAAAAATATTATTTTTAGATCTTTGGTGATATCAATATTATACTTGGTTATTGTGATGAAATGATATGTTCAACAATGCATAATTCCTTGTTGAAAATGAGGGCGAAGTATAAGTACCTATCTGAAAATAATTCTGATGCCTATCTGTACCTAGCACATAAGATGAATTCGAGGTTTCTTGAATCCAATTACAAAAAATTGTCTTGGAATATAGTCAAACTTAGAATGGCCATCATCTGAACATCTGTTCAATTCATTTTACAGAAGATGGTTTTCTTCTGACCAAATTCAGGGTGAGATTTGATGCCTAACTCAAAACCGACATTATATCTTGATTCTAGCTTTCAGTTGCAGCTGTTGAAAATACTGTCTCCGAATTTCCAGATAATGAAATAACATTATCTTCACATGGTAAATTGTTTGTTTTTGATCCATCTGGAATAGTTTCTAAAAGCTCTTCGAGAAGTTTAATGAGATCAGTGTCTAAGGGAAAGTCCATTTGATTTGGATTTAGATTTCAGAATTGTATGTTCTCTCTAAGGAAATTGTGGTACCTTCAATGAGATACCCTATATTTTTCAGCCTAATGAAATCATCCTCTTCAGGTTCCAGCACAATGAAAAATGAAGTGAACCAAGGTTATTGAAATGTGAATTCTATAAACAGTTGATGACAATCACAAAATTTCACATAAGTTTATATACAGGGTGTTTCAAAAAAACCTGACTCCCTTACTAGGTTATGTAGATCACTACAAAATAAGTTGAGTTTACTCAGTAAAAAAATTTCGTAACAGCATCCGTTATCAAGATACACGGTGTTGAAAAAATGATTTTTTACACATTTTTCAAGATTATGTCGAAACTACTGGCAACATTGTGATGAAATTTTGTATGGATGATTCTTGAAATCTGACACATCGCATGCATTTGTTTTTATACCTGATTCTCATAGAGGTCGCTAGTTACTCGGTTCGTACCGAGTAGTTTCGAACATTATTTTTTTGAGGTTAGATTTTTCAATCCATATTTGATGTGAACTTGAACATCATTCAATTTCACACCAAAAAGGTACTCTTGGTAAAACTCGATACTGTGTTCCATTTTCGGAATATTTCGATTTGAAAATGATGAAGTGATAACTGTTGCTGGTATAAAGTTATGTATTAGATTGAATATTATGAAAAATTATCACCTATTTAATGAAAACCGAAAACCACAATACATTTCTGATGCTAAACTTATTGATTTAACAATGGATCACAAGAATAACTTCGAAACAGATTTAACTAAGAACATGGATTACACAGTTTTGTTGTATCTTGAGCAGAAAGTCTATGCTACATAGGTAAATTCACGTCAAAAGTTTGTAAGACATAATTGACCATCACGTAAATGACCTAACAGCTGATCCTCAACTGTTTAGATTTAGAAGAATAATTCATTCCTAAGAAAAGATTATAGAATCGTGAATTCGTCGTAACGTAGGACATTTTGAACACTTAGGTACTCTAACTGATTCAATATTTCATGTTTCTAGTCGAATATCTCTTAATTTTCTACTTATGATTCTTTGTTCCATCAATAACTTCAGCACAATAATAATTGTATTGTTTTTGAATCTGGATAAATAGGTAATTGAACTCAATAAAATTCATTTCATACCAGCATCATTACTACTCCATTATTTTCAGATCGAAATATTCCGAAAACGGAACATAGTATCGAGTTTCACCAAGAGTAGGTACTCTTTTGATGTAAAATTGAATGATGTTTAAGTTCTTATCATATTTCGATTGAAAAATCTAACCTAAAAAAAGTTATGTTCTAAACTACTCGGTACGAACCGTGTAACTAGCGCCCTCTATGAGGGTCAGATATAAAAATAAATTCATGCGATGTGTCAGATTTGTAGAAACATCAATTCAAAATTTCATTACAATGTTGCCAGTAGTTTCGACATAATCGTGAAAAATGTGTAAACAAAATCATTTTTTCAACACCTTGTATCATGAAAACGGATGCCGTTACGACATTTTTTCACTGAGCAAACATAACTCATTTTGCAGTGTTCTACCTACCCTAGCAAGGGGGTCAGGTTCTTTTGAAACACCCTGTATAGGCATATAGCCTTTTAGTCTCTATTTGAAGTGAAAAAAGTCTTTCGAAATGAACTCAGTGATTTTATACTGTGGTATGCGTTACATATTTGAACCATGAACTATGACAATTGAATATGTTATAAAATGTGCGAAAATAATATGAGAGATGTGCTTGATTTATATATATTCTATTCTTGTGCAGTGAATTTCTTTCTCAAAAACTAAGATTGCGAAAAAATGAGCAGCATATTTATTTACTTAGTAATCTTCTGATTTTCTGAATATTTATATAATAATACTTTTATCCCATCTTCAAGCAGAAAATATTTGACGCGTCTCTGCAACCATGTGAAGATAGGACTCAAGTACTCATTCAAATATGAATCAAATTCTTCAGGGTTTACCAGCAAAGTATTATAACAGAGTATCATCAGCGAATAATTGCAATTCACATTTTTTGACTTGTACGAGTTATGAGTTCTGTGACACTGTGACACACTCACCCTTTTCCTCGCATGTTCCGCGCACAGCGGTATCTCGTGCGAGATATCGAAGACGGGCGTCGCACACTGGGTGTTGTCCGCGAACTTGGCCGTGCAGTATTCGAAGAGCATCTGCTCGGGATTGAGCATGATGTGGAGGGTGCAATGCTTGGTGCAGGGCAACGCCGGCCGCAGACATTTCGTCACCTGCATCCGATATATTCCGTTTTATATTATGTTATGTTCTCGTGTGTATTATACAGAGTGTTCCTTAAAGACATGCTAATATTCAAGGGGGTGATTCTTCGATTCATTTCAAGAAGGAAACTTCATATGAACGTATGTCCTAAAAGACCTAACTTTTGAGATACAGGGTGATGAAGTTTTGAAAAATATTCAGTTTTTTGATAATAATTGAGACAATATTATATACATCTTCATGAAATTTGGTACACGTTTTTTATGCACCAAGGTGCATTTTCTGATGTTCGAAAATTTTCATTTTCTCTACCAGTGGCACCGTTACGGGAATATTATTGTTTACACTTTACTTAAGAGTGAGCAACGACAAAAAGTTTTCAAATATCATTCAATGTCAGAAAAGGCTATTTAATTATGTACCAAAAATATCCTCTTGTTGATGCTCGATAGAACGTTTCGTTTTCGAGAAAAAACGGAAAAACGAGACCAGACTTCGAATTTTTATGTCTCAGTAGTCTCAGTACTCTATTCAGGAAATCCATTACTGGACAACCACAGTATGTAACATTTTGAAATTAGTATACCGATTCAGTCACATAGCAGACTGAATTTTGTCATCACGAAAAGCTATACAGGGTGGACAAAAAAATAATCTGCATATTTTCAACATTGACACCCTGTATCTCAAAAGTTAGGACGTTTACTTGTCATCACGAAAAGCTATACAGGGTGGACAAAAAAATAATCTATGCATATTTTCAACATTGACACCCTGTATCTCAAAAGTTAGGACGTTTACGACATACGGTCATATAAAAGCGATAAAAAAAAATTAAAATAAAAAATTCTTGGAATGGGTGGAAGAATCGGTCCCATTTTAATTTTTATTTGGAAATTTCTCGAAATGTATGCATCTGACAAAAAAAATTGCCGAATAAGAGTTGTATGGTTTGGAGGGGGACGTCTGGTTATAAAATAAGTTCCACCCCCTGACCCCCAGGGGAGTGGGAAATGGTGGTAACATTGAAATCTTTAATGGAAACCCCTATTTTTTATTGCAGATTCTAGAAGAGCATTAAAAACTATGAAGCTTTTATTCGGGAACTTTTTTCTTTTCACAAGATGGCGCTGCGATCGTAAAAAACAATATTTTACTATTTAGTTTGTATTTGGGTGATTTTTATCATTAAAAAGATATCAAGCAGTTCGAATCAACACATTTCAACACCCTGAAGACGAGGAAGAGTGTAGGGTGAGAAATTCCCAGACAAACGCCGTTGGGGTGATATTGCAAATTCACACGGTAAGTGATAATTTTCATTGTATGGCAACACCATGAAAATTGCAGAAATTGCAGAAATAGCAAAATTTGCAAAAATTCCTGGAAATTAGAAAAATTTCTGAAAATTGCAAAAATTCCTGAAAATTGCAAAAATCGCAAACCTGAAAATTGTGAAAATTGCAAAAATCGCAAAAATTCCTGAAAATTGCAAAAATCGCAAAAATGCCTGAAAATTGCGAAAATTCCGGAAAATTGCAAAAATTCCTGAAAATTGCAAGCATTGCAGAAATTGCAAAAGTTCCTGAAAATTGAAAAACTTCCTGAAAATTGTAAAAATTCCAACAATTCCTGAAAATTGAAAAAATTCCTGAAAGATGCAAACATTGCAAAAATTCCGGAAAATTGTGAAAATTCCTAAATTCCTGAAAATTGCAAAAATCGCAAAAATGCCTGAAAATTGTGAAAATTGCAAAAACTGCTGAAAATTGCAAAAATTTCAAAAATTCCTGAAAATTTTGAAAATTCATGAAAATTCCAAGAATTGCAAGAATTCCTGAAAATTGCAAAAATTGCAAAAATTCCTAAGAATTGCAAAAATTCCTGAAAATTGCAAAAATTCCTGAAAATTGCAAAAATTACTGAAAATTGCAAAAATTGAGAAAATTCCTGAAAATTGCGAAAATTTCAAAAATTCCTGAAAATTTTGAAAATTCATGGAAATTGCAAGAATTGCAAGAATTCCTGAAAATTGCAAAAATTGAAAAATTCCTGAAAATTGCAAAAATTCCTGGAAATTGCAAAAATTCCTGAAAATTTTGAAAATTCATGAAAATTGCAAAAATTGCAAAAATTCCTGGAAATCGCAAAAATTCCTGGTAACTGCAAGAATTGCAAGAATCGCAAAAATTTCAAAAATTCCTGATAATTGCAAAAATTCCTGAAAATTTTAAAAATTTCAGAAATTCCTGAAAATTGCAGAAATTGCAAAAATTCCTGAAAATTGCAAAAATTCCTGATAATTGCAAAAATTCCTGAAAACTGCAAAAATTTCAAAAATTCCTGAAAATTTTCAAAATTCATGACAATTGCAAGAATTGCAAGAATTCCTGAAAATTGCAAAAATTGCAAAAATTCCTGAAAATTGCAAAAATTGAAAAATCCTGAAAATTGCAAACATTTAAAAAATTCCTGAGAATTGCAAAAATTCCTGAAAATTGCAAATGTTTCTGAAAATTTTGAAAATTGCAAAAATTGCAAAAATTCCTGGAAATTGCAAAAATTGAAAAATTCCTGAAAATTGCAAAAATTCCTGAAAATTTTGAAAATTCATGAAAATTGCAAAAATTGCAAAGATTCCTGGAAATTGCGAAAATTGAAAAATTCCTGGTAATTGCAAGAATTGCAAAAATTTCAAAAATTCCTGGAAATTGCAAAAATTCCTGAGAATTGTAAAAATTTCAAAAATTCCTGAAAATTGCAGAAATTGCAAACATTTCAAAAATTCCTGAAAATTGCGAAAATTGCGAAAATTCCTAAAAATTGCAAAAATTCCTGAAAATTGCAAAAATTCTTGAAATTTTGAAAATTCATGAAAATTGCAAGAATTGCAAAAATTCCTGGAAATTGCAAAATTGCAAAAATTCCTGAAAATTGCAAAAATTGAAGAATTCCTGGAAATTGCAAAAATTCCTGAAAATTGCAAAAATTCCTGAAAATTGCAAAAATTGCAAAAATTCCTGAAAATTGCAAAAATTTCAAAAATTCCTGAAAATTCTGAAAATTCATGAAAATTGCAAGAATTGCAAAAATTCCTGAAAATTGCAAAAATTCCAAAAATTCCTGGAAATTGCAAAAATTGAAACATTCCTGGAAATTTTGAAAATTCATGAAAATTGCAAAAATTTCAAAAATTCCTGAAAATTTTGAAAATTCATGAAAATTGTAAAAATTTCAAAAATTCCTGAAATTGCAGAAATAGCAAAAATTTCAAAAATTCCTGAAAACTTTGAAAATTCCTGAAAATTGCAAAAATTGCAAAAATTCCTGAAAATTTTAAAATTCCTGAAAATTGCAAAAATTGCAAAAATTCCTGAAAATTGCAAAAAATTTCAAAAATTCCTGAAAATTTTGAAAATTCATGAAAATTGCAAGAATTGCGAGAATTCCTAAAATTGCAAAAATTGCAAAAATTTCTGAAAATTGCAGAAATTGAAAAAATCCTGAAAATTGCAAAAATTCCAAAAATTTCAAAAATTCTTGAAAATTGCAAAAATCGCAAAAATTCCTGAAAATTGCAAAAATTTCAAAAATTCCTGAAAATTTTGAAAATTCATGAAAATTGCAAGAATTGCGAGAATTCCTGAAAATTGCAAAAATTGCAAAAATTTCTGAAAATTGCAGAAATTGAAAAAATCCTGAAAATTGCAAAAATTGCAAAAATTTCAAAAATTCTTGAAAATTGCAAAAATTGCAAAAATTCATGAAAATTGCAAAAATTGCAAAGATTCCTGGAAATTGCGAAAATTGAAAAATTCCTGGTAATTGCAAGAATTGCAAAAATTTCAAAAATTCCTGAAAATTGCAAAAATTCCTGAAAAATTGTAAAAATTTCAAAAATTCCTGAAAATTGCAGAAATTGCAAAAATTTCAAAAATTCCTGAAAATTGCGAAAATTGCGAAAATTCCTAAAAATTGCAAAAAAATTCCTGAAAATTGCAAAAATTCTTGAAAATTTTGAAAATTCATGAAAATTGCCAGAATTGCAAAAATTCCTGGAAATTGCAAAAATTGCAAAAATTCCTGAAAATTGCAAAAAATGAAGAATTCCTGGAAATTGCAAAAATTCCTGAAAGTTGCAAAAATTCCTGAAGATTGCAAAAATTTCAAACAATTCCTGAAAATTTTGAAAATTCATGAAAATTGCAAGAATTCCTGAAAATTGCAAGAATTCCTGAAAATTGCAAAAATTGCAAAAATTCCTGAAAATTGCAAAAATTGAAAAAAATCCTGAAAATTGCAAAAAATTTCAAAAATTCCTGAAAATTGCAAAAATTGCGAAAATTCCTGAAAATTGCGAAAATTCCTGAAAATTGCAAAAATTCCTGAAAATTTTGAAAATTCATGAAAATTGCAAAAATTGCAAAGATTCCTGGAAATTGCGAAAATTGAAAAAATTCCTGGTAATTGCAAGAATTGCAAAAATTTCAAAAATCCTGGAAATTGCAAAAATTCCTGAAAATTGTAAAAATTTCAAAAATTCCTGAAAATTGCAGAAATTGCAAACATTTCAAAAATTCCTGAAAATTGCGAAAATTGCGAAAATTCCTAAAAATTGCAAAAATTCCTGTAAATTGCAAAAATTCTTGAAAATTTTGAAAATTCATGAAAATTGCAAGAATTGCTAAAATTCCTGGAAATTGCAAAAATTGCAAAAAATTCCTGAAAATTGCAAAAAATTGAAGAATTCCTGGAAATTGCAAAAATTCCTGAAAATTGCAAAAATTCCTGAAAATTGCAAAAAACTTGCAAAAATTCCTGAAAATTGCAAAAATTTCAAAAATTCCTGAAAATTCTGAAAATTCATGAAAATTGCAAGAATTGCAAAAATTGCTTTTGGGTGTATGATAAATGACATTCATCATACAGGGCGTGGAAATGAATTCTGAATTGAGACTCTATCACGAATCTGCGATTAGAGGTCTATTAAAATCACAAGTTTCCATCG